GCTGATCTAATGTCCGAAATACAGTGCTGATCTAATGTCCGAAATACAGTGTTGATCTAATGACCGAAATACAGTTGCTGATCTATTGTCCGAAATACAGTGCTGATCTAATGTCCGAAATACAATGCTGATCTAATGTCCGAAATACAGTGCTGATCTATTGACCAAAATACAGTGCTGATCTAATGTCCGAAACACAGTGCTGATCTAATGTCCGAAATACAGTGTTGATCTAATGACCGAAATACAGTGCTGATCTAATGTCCGAAATACAGTGCTGATCTAATGTCCGAAATACAGTGCTGATCTAATGTCCGAAATACAGTGCTGATCTAATGTCCGAAATACAGTACTGATCTAATGACCGAAATATAGTGCTGATCTAATGTCCGAAATACAGTGCTGATCTAATGTCCAAAATACAATGCTGATCTAATGTCCGAAATACATTGCTAATCTAATGTCCAAAATACAATGCTGATCTAATGTCCGAAATACAATGATAATCTAATGTCTGAAATACAATGCTAATCTAATGTCCGAAATACAGTGCGTCACATTTCAAGCTGAAAAGTACCATTGTTTCAATACCATTTCTAATGTCCGAAATACAGTACTGATCTAATGTCCGAAATACAGTGCTAATCTAATGACCGAAATACAGTGCTGATCTAATGTCCGAAATGCAGTGCTGATATGATGTCCGAAATACAGTGCTGATCTAATGTCCAAAATACAGTGCTGATATGATGTCCAAAATACATTGCTGATCTAATGTCCGAAATACAGTGCTGATCTAATGTTCGAAATACAGTGCTAATCTCATGACCAAAATACATTGCTGATCTAATGTCCGAAATACAGTGCTGATCTAATGTCCGAAATACAGTGCTGATCTAATGTCCGAAATACAGTGCTGATCTAATGTTCGAAATACAGCGTTGATCTAATGTCTGAAATACAGTGCTGATATAATGTCCGAAATACAGCGTTGATCTAATGTCTGAAATACAGTGCTGATCTAATGTTCAAAATACAGTACTGATCTAA